TGGCCGGAAATGTTCTTGTCAAAGACGAGGTGGAAAATCTTTACATCACCAGTTCTCGATTTCGACAAAACGTGTAAATAGCGTCCTGAACTGGCTCATCAACAACAATCCACTTTACAGAAATGTCCTGCACATTACCTATGATACCAATCTGCAGCAAAACGCAATTGTGCGACAAGAGAGAGTAGAACAGGAATAACTGTTTGAACTCGATGCTTACTTCAGGATCAATTATCACTCCCGACTGATTCTTACTTCATGGACCCAAGCTAATGCTGTTTTCATGAATTCTTCCTAAGCTGGAACACAATGAAGTGCCATGGCACTCTCAGAAATTGTTGAGTCCCGCTTGTTTCCACCGTCGATATGGAGCACTAACATCTACAACCAAGTGCTGATTGAAGGCAACAATTTTTACAAAATAATAAGAATGTTCTTCGCTATGTCCAACATCAACATACCAGAGTCCATCTTCCTGGACGTAAAAAACTTCGATGTCATCCAGATCGACTTCATCATGTTCTACGACTCGTTCTCAATAGTGTATGATAATGCTCCATCAATTTTCGGAAATCTGGATGACAAACGAAACATTCCTGAAATTGGCTACAAGTTGCTGAATGGTTTGAAACAGCTGTTCAATCAACATGGTGCTGGAATTTTGATAGAAAACTGCAAATGCTGTGCGGTGATCCAGAATGGTGACAAATATAATTTCTGTGATTCCCATTCTTGTGGAGCAATGGGAACAACATCAGCGAACAGACTAGAATAAATCAAATTGATCTATTGAATAAAAGTGGGTGGTTTCATTTCCATATGTTTAAATTTCTTTACGCAAGCCACCCACTTAATTCAAATGTAATCAATTCTGGGCTCAAAATTATTTATTTTCTATGTTTGAATGCAAATAAAAGTGTATGGGTTGAAAAACTTGTTTTTTTTGCCCAATTTAATGTTTGTTGTTCTCTGCCCCCTGAACCATGCCCGTTCTGTTGGAATACGCTCTGATGCCTACTTCATTGTGTGGTGAGTCTATGGGTCTCTGCGTGGTGAGTCTATGGGGTCTCCCTGATGAGTCTATGGTTTTCTGTATGGTGAGTCTATGGGTGTCTGTGGGTCTGGTTCTCTGTATGGTGAGTCTATGGGTTTCTATGTGAATCTATTGGTCTCTGCGTGGTGATTCTATGGGGTCTCTCTGATGAGTCTATGGGTGTTAATGTGAGTATATGGGTCTTTGTATGGTGAATCTATGAAAGTGTCAATGCATAGGCTCGTTAACGTGCACCGTGTAGCAGACGGTGGTTTCAGATGTTGGTGGGTTGTGGTCATTGTAGTAATTAATTGCTTTGTTACAATGTGGCTTTGTTATGAAGCAAGATAAATGGGCAGCTCCACGAGGAGTTTATTTCTTTAGCCAGTTGAGAGTGAGTAAGTCAGTGCGTGAGATGGTGAGTGAATGTTTGAAATGGAGCACGAGCGAATTATTGGGTGAGTGAGTGGGTGGGTGAGGTGATTTTAAGGTGAGGTGAGTTGAGAAGGTGACGATGAGGTGAGTTGAGATGAAGTGAGTTGAATTGAGATGAGATGAGGTGTGTGAGAATGAGGTGACATGATATGAGTTTACAAGAGGTTATTTGAGATTAGGTGAGTTGACATGAGGTTTGTTGAAATGGACTTTGACCAGCAACCCCTGGCACCGAGACGTCGGCACTTTTCAGGGCGCGTCTTGTGACATGCATATGTGGGCGAGTGGGATTGTGCATGAGTGAGTGATATGGTGGTTGAGTGAGTGAGTGGGTGAGATAATGAGTGAGTGGGTGAGGTAGTGGGTGAGTGAATGAGTGAGTGGGTGAATAAGTTACTAAGATCCTGAGTGAGTGAATGAGTGAGCAAATGACTGAGATGGTGGGTGTGTTCATGAGTGAATTCATGGGTGAATATGTGAGTTGGTGAATTAGTGCCTGAGATTGTAGGTGGTTGAGTAAGATAGTAGTGAGTGATTGGGTGAGTGATAAGTGAGTTGGTGGATGAGTGAATGAGTGAATGAAGGGGTAATTGAGTGACAGAGATGGCGAGAGGGTGAAATAGTGAAATGGTAGATAAGTCAGTGAGATGAAGAGTGAGTGAATGACGAAGTGAATGGATGAGTGGGTGAGATGGTGAGTAAATGAGTTGAGGACAGGGTGCGATGGTGTCGTTTGAGTCCCTGTCTCTCTGTGCCTCTTTCTCCCTGTACTCAATCTCGTTATCGATCCGTATTCCTCTTTGGACCCTCCACTGGATAAACATCCCCTGTACATTGAGCAGCACTGCCCATAGACTCAACACTGCCCATAAACACAACACTGACCCTGTAGATGAAGCAGCCTCACTTCTTACCCTCTTTCTTTCTCCATAGTAAAGCCTGACCTCTTCTTCATTACCCTATCTCCTTGTCACGGATACAATATAACGTGGTTCACATTGGTGTTCAATCAGTGGCGGCTCCTGCAAAATCTCTCAGGGGGGGCAAATGTCTGGATGATTGATAAGGATAAGGTCCACCCATGCAATGGATAAATTAACAGCTTAAGCATGTAAAGGCAACTTCACTTCTTTAATATTAATGAAAAATAAAGTGACTCTTACAATACATCTTGTTTGTTTCTATACTCACTATTAATACAAACTACTCAAGTTTATTTTATTAAAGATTCCACTAGGTGGCGATAAATTATATTGTTGGATGAAACGTGCTTACGTATGATGATGTAAGCACGTTAGGGCGAGCCCTCCCGGAAGCCATAGAGAATGCATTGCAGCGCCCCCCGGTCGAAAAAAAACATCTTTGAATGTAAGTCTATGGGGCCACTCTGGGCGATTCTCAGCCGGAGTGAAATCGCCCAAAAAGAGGCGGTACTCCACAGAACGTGACATGACGTTGATTGGACTATATCCAGAGGCACAGTGACGGCTAGCGTGACTCTGTGGTTGAATGACATTGGTGGTGCGTCGCCCAATCGCCCTAATGAAGAAACCGCCCCTGTGTTCAATGATGGTACAGTCGTCTGACTCGACTGGTTTCCGGTCCATTTGAAACTGAAATTATTTGGATGTGGTTAGGGGCCGGGTGGCCAAAACCCATTGGCACCTTCCCGTATACAAGGGGGTTGACTGTTAGAGCAGGACCAGCAAAAGAAGCAGCATCAGCGGGAGAAGCAGCGGCAACAGTGGAGGAGGCAACGGCACCAGCGGGGGCAGCAGCAGCACCAGCAGCAGTGAGCTGAGCGAGCAAGGCAGCTCCCCCTGGGGCGGAAGCAAAGACCCCAATGCCTGGTGTGAGGATCAGAAGGGAGAAGGCAGGACTCAAGATCTATCCTACTGTAGGCCTCTTGGACTGATGTCTAAAACCTCGGTGCTGGTTTCCCAGTTCCGTGCATTGAATATGTGGTACGGTTATTCAGGGACGTTTGTGGCCTGTCTACAGTGCATGTGGACAGTAGAGTTGGTTTTGGTGCTGTGGGTGAAATGTTGAAACGCATAACGACCACCACTACGGAGACTGTGTGTGTTTATCGGGATAACGCAGAGTCATAGGCGTTTTGGGTTTAGATAGACCCGTGTGTCTGTGTTGAATTGTGTGTTCTGGGAGTGTGCGGCCGTGTTGGTGGGCCTACACACATCTCACCCTACTGTCTGTAACCTGGCCTAAGCACAGAACTAAATTTGCTTCATCGCTTAAAATCCTGGTCCATGGATGCCGTTGCTTATTCAGCATTGTGGAGCCAACCGGCCTGTAAAATAGTTCACCATGGTGGAGGTAACCATGTAGTGACGCTAGAGTTGGTTACCACCGTCACACTCTTCCTCTTCCCTCCCCCTACTCTTTCGTAATCTCTAAGTATCCCCTATCGCAGTCACCCATTCCTCAGCCTCTAACACGTCCCTGCCATCCATATTATATTATGTAACGTTTATTTTAAACTATGTTAACCACATTGAGAAAAGGTGTGCTATAAATATAAAATAAGTTGAGATGAGCACCGCTGTTGACAGACGCAGCGAGGCTCGCCGAGGCAGCGCTCGAGCCACCACTCGACTCGTGGATGGCAATGCCACTGCCCTAGAGGTCGTCATCTTTTTATAATGTATGTCACTAGTAGCGAAGGGTAAGCAGTTTAAATTGTTCTTCAACAAGTAAAGCCTCAATGAGTCTCTTTTCAAAGAAATATTGTTTTGGGACGTTCAGCAAATTCCTCTTCAAATTAGTGTTTTTGAATGTGCGAGAAACCCAACCACAACCCTGCAGCAGCTCTTTTCGTTTCAGACTGTTGAGGACATCTGCGGTGCCCATGGAGGCTACCTGCTTTGAGTGGCGAGTCCCTGGCTATACACCGTACCAGGCTCATTATTCCTGGCCAATATTTTGGACAAACTTCGTGAACCATGTAGACCTGTTTGAGACCGGACTGAAGAGCAGAAGTGAGGTTGGAGAAACTTTTTTAACTGAAACTCCGACGTCCTGTCTGGACAGTCTGGACGAAACGCGCCGGTATTTGTTGGTGTTCAACTGTTCTGATATTTGAGTTTTTCACGTCACAATTATTTGGAGCTTGGTAGGTGAGTTAAACTGTGTTAGGGGACAACCTACGTTATCTCTGCATGACGGTGGGGCTCGTGAGTTTGTGTAATTGGAGGGTAGCTGTTGCTTGTAAGAGCATCTTCATGGACAACAAGAGGGAATTTTCATAGGACCGAGATGGACCAACCTTCACAGAAGTGTGTTGACATGAGCTGATTTGACAAAAGGATATTTGAGATGAGGTGATTTGAGATAAGGTGAGCTGACTCTTTATCTAGCCACCTCTGGCACCTAGACATCTCTGCCCCGTCACAAGTCAACACATTCCAGGGTGCGCCTCATGATATGCAAATGAAACTTAAAGACTTTGTACTTTAACCTGCCTCACATTTAGGTGGCTTGTTCTTGGTTCAATGTCTCAGATGTCGCCAGAGACTGCGTGAGCTACAGCCAGAGACTGCGTGAGCTATAGCTAGATACTGCCGGAGCTACAGGCATAGACTGTCTGTGGTACAGAAAGACTGCCTGAGCTACAGCCAGAGATTGCCTGACCAACAGTCAGAGACTGCCTGAGCTCCAGCCAGCGACTGCCTGAGCTCCATCCAGCGCCTGTCTCTGATGTGAGCCATAGGGACATGGCGAGTGCGGCTCCCATTGATAGCGATACTCCAGGGGAGTTGACCTGCCCCATCTGCCTGGACACCTTCCGCTGCCCCTGCACGCTCAGCTGCGGCCACTCGTTCTGCCTCAAGTGCGTGGAGGGCGCCTGGGATGCGGCAGAGTCCTTCTCCTGCCCACAGTGCCGAGTGACTTTCCCTCGGAGGCCCAAGCTGAGCAAGAACGTGACGCTCACCAACCTCATCGAGCAGCTGCGAGTGGCTGAGCCCGTGGCTGCCGATGCTGCTGCTTCTGCTGTTTGCTGCGATCATTGCAGGAAGCCCGCAGTGAAGACTTGCCTCAAGTGTGAGACGTCGTTCTGTATGACCCACCTCACGCCCCACCGGCAGTTGGCAAAGTTTAGTGACCACGTCCTGGTGTCGCCCGGTGTGAACCTGGAGAATCGACGGTGCGCGGAGCACGGATACGAATACCGCTTCTACTGCGTTAACGACGGACGCCTCGTCTGCAGGGACTGCACCGACACTGTGGATCATCGAGGGCACGAGCTCGTCACTTTGAAGGTGGAGCACGACAAACGAAAGGTGAGAAGGTTATCACGGTCACCGCGTAGTACCCACGATACCGCAGCATCAATTGATGAACTCTGTCCTTGGCTTTCAACAACAACATCTAATTATAACGAAACCACAGCGAGTGGCTCAGACTCATTTTAAAATAGATTTAATATTTTACATGCCCGTCAATATTTTTTTCAAACGAGTGTTTGAAGGGTAGATTCATAGTACATGGACAACATTCCACATAAATGCAGTGTCCCCACGTATCCCTCTTAGTCTCAGTGTCTCCATGTGTGCCCATGTGTCCCGCTGAGTCTCAGTGTCCCCCTGTTCATGAGTTATTCCCATGTCCTATGATGTGTCAAGAGCTGGTGCACTTTACAGTACCTCTATGAGCTTAATCCAAGAATGTTTATGTTAGAGTTAAAGTCGCGTTACTTGTGTATGTATATATTTTTTAAAAGTTGTATATATCTTACGAGAAGGAAGTATCCAGCTTTGCCAGGGGGAAAAATATATTTCAAAACTTGTCTTCTCTTAAAAAACACAACATTTACATACACATACTAAGCTATTGTGAAAGCCCTGCGTTCCGTTTGTCTGTCCTTTGTCCATCAACAAAATTAATAGAAGCTTGCAGAAGTCCTGAATCAAAAAGTAATAGTATGTGAGGTGTAAATCGTTGATCTACACGATTTCCGAAAATTATCGACCCCCCCCCTCCAAAAATCTTTTAACCCACCCCCGAGCCAATTTGTATTTTGTAGGCATATAAAACAACAACCGCCATTCGACACTAAGTGGCGGTGACGTCACCACGACGCTTGTGCCAGGCCATGTGCACCTTGAGGCCACGTGAAGTGTCGAAAACGCCCGCTGGCAGGAGGTCACGGGGCAGACCCAGGTCCCACGGGTCGACTGACTGAGATGACCGAGATGACTGGCTGATGCACCACCTGTGCCCCCTACTGTGCCAACTTGCTGTGCTTTAGCCACCGGGCGCTCCGCTCATTGTTGTGAGCGTCGCTCCTCCGCCCTCCGTTGTTGGAGGGCGACTGCATCCAACTGCCCAGTAGCGTCCTTCATGAGCCTCCTCCACAGAGGCCGTTCTTGACACCGCTGGTACCAGTCATCGGCAAGTCCACTCAGCTCCACGTCCTCCTGTACCACATCACTCCACCTCTTCTCTAGCCCGTGCCGCACCCATTTAGCCCCCTTGATCCGGCCGAACAAAAGCTGTTTAGGCATGCGTTGGCTGGTCATGCGGGCTGCATGACCCAGCCAACGCAGCCTTGCCTACCGGAGGAGCTCACCGATGGGACTTTGCCCAGATCTTTCAAGGATTTGTGAGCTCCTCACACAATCCAGCCTGGTTAAACCCAGGATGGATCATAGGCAGGCCAGCCTAAATGTTTCTAACCGGCGAAGATGTTCCATTAGGGGGTCCACGTTTCGCAAGCGTAGAGAAGGGAGGGAATGACTGTGGCCAAGATGACCTGAAGCTTCGTGCGGAGCACAGACCAGGTAGCTTCCACACAGCGTTAAGCAAGCGATGAAAAGATATTGCCGCTTGACTGATTCGGAGTGAGACCTCTGCTGTTAAACCGGAGCAGGCCATGAGCACACTGCCCAGGTATGGGAAACTCTCCACTCTCTCCACAACTGCCCCATCACCGATTGGGAGTTGTGTGGGTGGAGTGTCCGATGGTACAAAATACCCAGGCAGGTGCTTAGTTTTGGTGGGGATGATGGTAAGGCCCCACCTCTTAGTGGCATGCTCCAGTGTCATATATACCTACACACCCTCATACAATAGAGTTAGCAATATCTAGTGACTCTATAGTAGTGTAGGACTTGAGATGACACGTGCCACGCGTTTGGTTGCGATGCGAGCGTGCAGCGGACAGTGGGGGCAACTGAGGACATACAGTTGTTGATGCGCCAATTAAGGGGTGAGGTCATTAAGAGACGCCACAGGTGTTAGGGGTAATTGAGGACATACACTTGTTGTTGCGCCAATTAAGGGGTGAAGTCATTAAGAGACGCCGCAGGTGCTAAGAGTAACTGAGGACGCAGGCCGGTGATTGGTCGAGAGGGTAAGTGTCTGGGACTGGCGTCGGGGTGTCTACGACAACAACATCACGTGACATCACGTGAGGCTGGGGGCCATGGAGGCGAAGGGAGGAGCGGGGGATGACATAATTAATCGGGGCAAATTGGTTTGGGGATAAAGGCAGAGCGTAGCGGAGATACGGGAGTGATTGTTGGAGTCTGAGCTGGAGACGGCGCCTGGGACAGAGACGGAGCAACAGGGAGTATAGATACGGTAGCAGATAGATTCGATACAGGTAGACAAGAGAAGATAGAGTATGGTAGCAGCGGATAAGGGATTACAGTATCGGATAGCAGCAGAGTAAGGGATCTGGATAGAGAAGTCAGGACGGAGTGAGACGGCAGGGAGATAAAGAGCGATTGAGCTGGAGCGGAGCGAGCGAGCGGAGAGACATGGAGTAATGACGGAGGAGATGTGAACTATACGCGTTAATAAAAGAAACGAGAAAGACAAGAAGCTGTCGCGTCAGTACGAGTCCTACAGTAGTACCAACTGACTCGAAAGTAGCATCTAGTGATTCTAGTAGTGTAGTGACTTAACTCGGAGATGCTAAGACTTGGAGGCACTTCTTTTGTTTAACTGAGCACCCTTTGCACAATACACACCCACCGCTGTTGCACACTCTTCTGTTGCTCGTTTATACACAACTGTACGTGGGTTGCTAGCCTTTTCAAAACACTAGCCATATAACACTGACGGCGCTGAACCGAGACAGCCAACTACCATCTAGCAGCGCAATATTGAAGGAAGACAACAGCGACGAGACGACAGTGACAATGGCGACGATCTTCAACAGCATGACGCGGATCCCACTCCATATGACAGCTCTGAGCTCTCGCTCAGGAACCCCTTTTATGCTCCCAGCGTGGCTTCGCTCGGCCCCAGCCATGCCCCCTCTCTAGAACCTGCCAGCAGTTACCTGCGGCATCCCCCGTGCCACTTCTTTAACCTTTCCCCCAGATATTCTCTCTGGTGTATCACCTGAGCTGCAGATGTCAGGGCTGCTGTAAGCCGCAGATCCCCTTCCCCGCCAGCAGCCAGCGCTATGCTGCTACACTACTTATTCTATGTCAGTTCAGTAGTATCTAGTGACTCTGCAGTACTATGTACTGACTCTACCGTCATATATATTGACGCTACAGTAGTATCTGGCTCTTCGGTAGTATCTACCGACTCCATAGTAGTATCTACTGACTCCATAGTAGTATCCACTGACTAAAGTAGTAACTACTAACTCTATAGTTGTATCTGTTAACTCTATAGCATTAACTGCTGACTCAAAAGAAGTAACTACTGACTCTATAGTCGTATGTACTGACTCTGCAGCAGTATATACTGACTAGTGATATCTACTGACTGTAGTAGTATCTACTGACTCTATCGCAGTATCTACTGACTGTATAGTAGTATCCACTGACTATAATAGTGTAGTGTGGTGTTTATTCACGCGGACAACTTTGTCTTTTTCTCCAGTGTCACTTTATGCGCAGCATCCCACACGGATGCTCCTCACGTTCAACACCACGTACTCCTGTCGCAAACTCTTTCTCTCTTCCTCCGCTAGCCTGCTACTTCCTGCTTACTCTCTCTTGCTCTGCTAGCCCGTTACTCCCCACTCTCCGAGCTTGTAACGCACTCTCTCTCCATATACTCCTCTAGCTTCTCACCCCGCAAACCTATCACACTCAGACTCAAGATTCCACTAGCCTCACCTCCGCAAGCCTGTCTACTCCCGCACCTCCAACCTCACCCGTGTCCCTAGCGGGGGATGAGCCATCACCGCTGGGGAGGACGAGGTGTGGAGGGTGAGTTCCCGGACTTGTCCTGAATACTGCTAACTGCTTCATCTCCAACCAACTCGCCCCATTGCTTCACATGTTCCCCTGATATCCCCCTCCTCATTAAGTGCCCTCAGATGGCCCTCATTAAGCCGGCGTCCTTCTGGCGTCTCTTGCACGTGTTCTCCCCCTTATCGCCTCTATCTCTTGCCTTCTTGGCGCCTACTCCGTGATTGCATTTGCAGCCAGCCACAATCACTGCCTCTTTTCCTAATTGCTGGCGTCTCTCTGTCTGCTGTCTCCGAGGCCACCCGACTGCACCTGCTCATCCTGACTTGACATCACTGTTTGCAACCCCTACATGAATGTAACTACTGTTTGCAAACCCTGCACGTGTTACGCCACTACACTAGTAACAACTCTATAGTAGTATATTCTGACTCTATAGCAATATTTGTTGACTCTATAGAAGTACTGACTCTATAGTCATATCTACCGACTGTACGGTATTATTTACCAACTCTATAGTAGTAACTACTAACTATAGTAGTATCTGCTGACGTTATAGCAGTGTCTGCTGACTCTATAGCAGTATCTTCTTACTCTATAGACATATCTACTGACTTTGCAGCAGTATATACTGACTATAGTGGTATCTACTGACTGTAGTAGTATGGATCGACTCTTTAGTAGTATCTCCGACTCTACAGTAGTAACTACTGACACTACAGTCGTATCTCCTGACTGTATAGTAGTATCTACTGATTAATCTTGATTTGAAGCTTTTGTGACTGCAGGAATCCATACTCTTTGGTTCTTTCGGTAAAGTCACGTAGGTAGTATAATAAAATATATATATATTACGACGTTTCAATCGCAACACAAGCGGTGGTCCTCAGGCGGAAAAAATAATCTAGCAGTGGAACTGCTGAACCAGCGAGAATTAAAACAAGATGTTCAATATGTGGCGAAGGGCAAGCAGGCGGGGTCTGAGCTGGAAAGGAATTCCATCCCCGGACGCAAGCACGTCAGTTGTGTTAATTGGGGAGCTTAGGGAGAGAGAGATTAGCATGAAATGAGCTTCCGTCGCCGCATAAGAGTATCATCTCCGTAAATGCGCACAACAGCAGTGT